TGAAAAATTCCTATCAAATATGGATGGAAGTTATATAAGTAATAACTCATGTGATCAGTATAGAATCCTACTTCTTATGGATCCTGTATTTGTTGCCATTTGTCAAGAAAGCTTATCTGTAACCTCAGAGATTAAAGATGTTAGCAATGAGTCACCAATTTTGTGAGCAGTCTTCTAAATGCTTGGTTCTCAACCTCTAAATGAATCCCTGTAATTGTATTGTATCAGTTGAATTGTACTGCAAGAGTGAGTCTTTAATTTGCGTAACTAAACTGTAAAATGAGTAATACAACTCGATAAGAAATTCTCTGAGCTGAATGATTAAATCGTAAAACTTTCATTGTCATTCTAGACAACATTATAAGTAGAAACTTCAGAAAAGAACTGAACGTTAGGGTTTTCTCCACAATTTGTTTAGTAGCTTGTCCTGATGACCTTGTGTGTGGTTGGCTGTTTCTGCCAAGGTCTTGTCATTGTCTGCATATTTAATTTGATTGGTTGTCTTGTTGACTTGATGTTTGACCTTCTTGTTGTTTCTTATTGGTTGATAGATTGAGTCAGTGTCGATATGTCTATCAAATTCATATCTACACTTGTTCTTAAGCATTAAAATGAGTGAAGATATGTCACGACACTTCACTGCTACATGATGTTTATGTAGATAGATACGAAGAAGTCGACCACTTTGTACGATGTAGTGGTTCTCGAAGTTTCGACTGACTACTCATCCATTTATAAATGATTCAGAAATAATTCTGTGCTGAATGAAATCCACCATTGTGCATTACCCATATCTTTTACGTTTGAAATTGGCTGTTTTATTTTTAGAAATTATGCTGCTTTTTGTATGTATAGCTAAATCAGACCGTCTAAAATATATAAGGATAATAAACACCAGTGTTGTGTTCTGTTTTAATCAATCGAGAGGGCCGAATTGTTTGACTCGTCGAGTGGGTGGATTGGCTATACGAAACTGGGTAAGTATATTGAAGATGCATCTGGTGCAATATCACCCTTAGGACTAAATCGCTAGAATGGTGTGCTTAAGAAAATTGTAACCAGTCGAAATTATGACATAATGGACAATTTTTGTCATACTCCTCTTTGACAATGATAACCTGGTGTAAATTGTAAGAGGCATCAAAACGTGTGTACCATATAGGCAGTTGAAATGTCACCTAGATTTTGACAGGATACAGACCGTCAGTCTCTAGGTGGCAAGCAAAACGCATCATTTGGATGGGCTGTGCGATTAATCTGTAAATGTGAGTAAGAAAGCAACTTCGGACATTACTTTTTTTCCCTTGGGTTCCTAGTGGAACATAGGACTCCAGTAGCACGCCTCCATTCCACTCTCTTCTCTACAGTCTTCTCAACCTCGCTCCATAACTGCTCACAACCTATCATTTCTTCCTCACATGATCTCCTCCATGTCACCCTCCTCTGGGACGCCCAACTCGACAGCCTGGTCTGCTGCATGTTGTCTCCGAACGGTCTTCCTAGTGTATGCCCAATCCATCTCCAATTCCTACGTCTGCATATTTGTTGGGTGAGAGATTCTTCCTTCGTTGGTTCGTTGGCAGAGCACAGTGTCTTGTTACTTATTCTTATTATTCTAGCCATCTCATCTCATCTCATCTCATCTCATCTCATCTCATCTCATCTGATCTTCAGTATCGAGTCAGCGTAGGCAGCAGCTGTTGATGATGAATTTCTGTAGTTTGTTGGAAATGCATTTCGTGACACGCTGAGTTTCTGAACCATCACATAGGAGCACTGACTTGACTGACATTGGTGTTGAAAATCCTCATCTTGTTCACGCTTTATACTGAGTGGAGTGCAGTATATCTGCGCACTGGTTATTTCAGATTAATGAAAGCTTGTCTTGTTGTCTTTGCAATCCTAGTTTTGACATTCTCTTGTGTGTGTGTGTGCCATGTGTAGTTGAAACGATGCTGCTTCCTGTGTAGGTGGGTGAAAGAGATTGCTTCGTTTAGGTTTCTCTGGTTGTTGGTGATTGGTGCTTGTTGTTGAAATTCAAACCATTTTGACTCTTTTCATCGGTCATGATTAGTAGCTATACAACTTCATATGTTAATTAATGCACCTCTAGACCAACAATTTGAAAGGCGATGATCGAATCCCATTTTGATCTATATAAGATCACTTAGTGGATAAAATTTCAGACATAATTACTCATACAAGTTTATCAAAATCATCATGGGAAATCATAAGAAAAATATGAGCAGTAATAGTAATACAAAGGTTTATAGTAATAATAACGGGACAGGGAAGTAAGAGAATTCAACACTTCTACTACAAGGTCATAGAAAGAGGGTCCATCAAAAATGTTTAGATTAGAATGTCATTTAGGTCTACAAACTTCTATATAAATAATGATCTGAGATTCTGAAGCAATCATGATCTTCTTATTCATGACTCTAATCTATGACTCACAGTATACAGACAATTGAAAGTAATGATTATCCATTTGTAGAAACTTAACTTGAAAACAATCAACCCATCAATTTATTGATAAGTGACAGAAGTCAATGTGATGACAGTGAAATACTGAAACTTTTCTAGTTTTCAAAGTTACTTAAAAACAGAAGTAACAAGAAATAAAAATCATATTTTCTACACAATCTCATCTTAACATTGTCATTTATGGAATTATACTGAAGAAATCTATTTACTGAATCATCATGACCTTAGATTCTAAAATTTCAGGTTCCAATGATATGAAGAAATCATTGAAGATGATAACAATCAACATCTTGTATTTTTCATTGTCTTCATTGACTTATGACAGTTTAGATGTAAAAAGAAGTGATAGCTAGTGAAGATCCCCCTGATTAATATAGATCGAGTTGATATAAGTTGAACAACCGGAAAACATTAAATAGATTACTTTTTGCCCTAGTTTTTACTGTCGTCATCAATGTTCATCCATGAGTGTGAAGTTCACTTTCACGGCATCACATTCTGCTAAGTTTAAAATAAAGGAATAAATCATTATTGAAAATATATAAATATTGGTTAAATAACCATAGAACAGAGTGTAGAATGGCAGTCAACCCTCTACACCTCAACTTCACCGACATTGAAAAGGCCTTCGACAGCTTCGACCGACAAGTAATTTGGCAACTGCTTCAACACCATGGAATGCCACAAACCTTTATCAGCCTTATTCAATAACAATATGAAGACGCCACATGACAAGTAATTCACAATGGGAAGCTCAGTGATGCCTTCGAAGTGAATCGAAGACAGAAGTAAGACAAGGCTGTCTACTATCACCCATGATATTCCTGATTGTGGTGGACTCGATCATGAGGGATACACTCGACCGAGGAAAACATCCTAGAAGACTTGGATTTCGCCCATGACTTGTGTCTAGTTTCACACAAACTCAAGGATGTACAGCCGAAAACTAACAAGTTGACAGAAGAGGTAAGGCAGGGCAGCGAAGACGGGACTTCAAGTGAACGTAGAGGAGATAGAGGTGATGAAGATACCCAACCGATGCCACCAACAAGAACAACAAGCTCCAATAACCATCAATGGGAGAAACTTAAAGGAAGTAGCCTCTTTCACCAATACATACCTAGGCAGCACTGTTTCAACTACAGGCCGCACAGGCGCAGACGAGGATGTCAAAGCCAGCCAGGATAGGAAAGACAACAAGACAGGCCTTACTGCATTAACCTGAAACCAGTGTGGAGATCTACTGCACTCCACTCAGCATAAAAAACAAGATTCGGGTTTTCAACACTCATTCAGTCAAGTAAGTCAGTGCTTCCATGTGAGGGTTGAGAGACTTGGTGCGTTACAAAAGACATTTCCAACAAACTACAAACATTCATCAACAAATGCCGCCTACACTGGCTCGTTACTGAAGATCAGATGGCCAGAAATTATAAGCAACAAGAGACTCTGACCTGCCAACGAACCAACCAAGAACCTATCAGCCAACAAATATGCAGAAAGAAGTGGAGGTGGATTGGGCATGCACTGAGAAGGCCGACTGGGGACATCACGTTCCAGGCAAGACCGTCGAGTGGAACCCAGATGTGAAACGACGAGTTGGGCTTCCGAGGCAAGGGTGACATGGAGGAGATCGTGTGAGGAAGAAATGAGAGGTTGTTGGCTGTCATGGAACCAGGTTCAAAAGATTACAGAGGAGAGAGTGGAATGGAGACGTGCTACTGGAGCCCTATGTTCCACTAGGAACCCAAGGGAAAAATAATAATAACCATATCACGATGTCAGAATATGTTTTCAGTTTTGTAAGTTTTATTGTAACGTGTAGCCACCTATCTGTCAACATTTACTATGTCAGCATCTTCTTTGTCCTAATCAACGGTTGCATATTCAATTCATGGTTCAACCCATCTGCAGAAAGATAAGTCATAATCATCCCTTCTAAAAAAACCCTTTGATTACTGACTAATATATAAACACCTAGTCTGATCTCTGTCTACTTTCTGACACTTTTGATGATATACCTCTAGTTATCATAGCTTACAAGTAGATGAGGCACTTACTGCTTAAGTCACGTGTTATTCAATGAAAACATAGGCTAGTGAAATACAACCACAATAGGGATTGAAAGCAACACCTTCGCGTCTTATGACGTTCACACTACCATTCAGTCTTTCCACCGAAGTTTGAAGGTTCATATTTTCGCACTTCCATCAATTCATGATATAGCCCAACGGTAATCTGAGACTATAAACAACTATTCATACTCATTAAAATTAAAAAATCCATCCACAACCGTGTCATTCATGAATAGCAGGAAGTAATTCAGTTCAGATTCTTTTTTGAGGATTTGTCGACTGATTTCAAGGCCTCGGCCTCCTTTATATGATTTCATATGCATTAATTACTAAAGAATCTTAAAATTCGACAAAATAGTCGTTCACTGGTATCAAATCTTTGATGATTTTCATGATAAAAGCCACCTTGAAGTCAATGAAAAACCTTGTGATTTCTTGATGTTTTTACAGAATTATCACTACAGCCATACTGAGAATATTTTATATGTGGAATCAATTACAGATGTTGTAATTGAAATCTGTAAAGAAAAATCTGAAAACACAGAAATCAATATGATCACAATCATGAAATTTTTAGTATTGGAAACTTTCAAGAAAAATGTTTCAACTGTATGTCTGTTTTCATGATTATATTCATCTACTGAAATCTCCTATCAATTTAATACAAGTTGTCATCTTTGCATTTTTATTATCAAGCAAATTTACACTACTTAAATTTAGTTATAAGTAGTTAACTTGGATGACGAAATAACTTTCAGATAACCTTTGCCACTACCATAATTAGTGAAGTTTACTTGTTGCAGGTGGTAGAACGTCCTCTCCTGAGTATTTCTTAAATTCAAATATCGGCATCTATTTGGTTAAAGCATGTGATGATTCAACGCTTTTCAGGAAAGAATACATTTTCGTTGCTTACAGGGATATCTGTAAACGATTAGCTGTTTTCCGTGTAACCATGCTGCTCATATTATCCATATTGGCTTTCAGCTATGGGGTTACATCTGGGTAGAATAAAGCGTGATATTATTCAATAGAGTCCCTCGCCGTTTCGTCAGGCTTCCAATTTGGCATCCATATCACAGCTGAAATAGATGGTTGGAAACTAACTGTAGGTGATATTGCGGAAAACCGATCTCGTCAGGGATGCATATACATTCTATCATTATCTTCCTTCTTATCCTTACATCACAGGTCGTCATTTGCATTACCACCTCTTCTCAGCTACTTATGACTTTCTGGGAATTCGGTTCATATCTGAAACTATTTCGCTGTTTTACATATTGATAATATGCTAGTGTGAGACATTGCCACATAAACACTATGCAATGATACCAGCAAATGATACGGGCTGGTGACCACTTTCTAAGACTCCATGGATCAGATGACAGAATGTTTCTGTATGTCTAACGTTGTTATCAATTCTGTCAAGAACTCTATTTTCTCTTCTAATGATTTAACTCTGTCTGACTGTTGTGTGTGTGTGTGTGTATGGTAGAAGTAGTAGATGTATACGATCTAAGACCTCAGCTGCACACTATATATCGAAACTAGTGTCACCCACTGCTGATATTTGTTGTATAACATTAGGCAATCTCCTCAGCTTAATTTGGTAAAACAGTTTGTGGTTGATACTACAGTTACCTAACAAGCTTTTCATATGTTGCAGAAGTTGTGACCGTATTCTGTCTCCCCAATTGTACATTACTGAGGAGTTTATCAAACATTTGTTGTTCGGTAAGCAATACAGTTTGAATGATTGCCTGTTTTAGATGATTGTATGATGTATCTGGATTTGGTTTAAGCAGAACCTCTCATAATTGTTCGGTTACTTCATCTGCTGAACTTACATTGGCTTATCCAAACTTCATATTTTGTATAGTTGTATGATTTGATGTCAAATAGTGTTGTAAGCGAGTAAACCACAGTTTTGGATTGGTTGAATGGAAAGGGAGAACATTACAGTGAATAGGGCTCATAGAGCCAGTATGAAAAGGATTTTAACATTTTATGAAATGCTATGTGGGAGTAAATATATAGATATGTGATACAATGAAAGCGAATGAAGCACAAACCCTGGAACATTAAATACAAACAGAAAGTTTAGAAAGAAAAGAAAAGAATTGAAAATGCCGCCTACTGTAGGAAATCTGTTAAAGTCCAATTGTACAACAGTGAAGGCGAATTCAACAGTAACATTCCAACAAATGTTATAGTGTTGTAGTGTCACACACTTCCCCAAAATCAATAGCCTAAGGTTTGACAAGATTCAACATTGATGCTGACCTTGATAGTTTAACTGGACTCGCTAAGCTGAAGGCACCCGGTCAAGCATCCTCGCCATTTGGCACGCTGTCGTGTTACCTTGCACTGCTCGTATTCGACTCTCTAGCCAGTTAGTTGGAACGTATTGGTATCTTGGCACAACCATCCAAATATAATATTTCCATCCGACTACACTATCGTGTTCTTCCTTGGTCTCGTATTCGTGGGTATATAACAAATTCGAATAATTAGTGATTGGTCTTTGCGTCTGTCAAGTTTGCACCAGGACAAATCCTAAAGTGTAATTCCAATACATCTGATTCCACAATGTTATATTATAATCCACAGTTTATTCATGAACATGAAAGGTAACCATAAGTCATGAAAATTTGAGAAGTCCAGTTCACCAGTTTAGCCCGTTGGCATAATTATCAGTTTTAATAGATCTATGCTATGAGACAAGGTATTCAGTTCGTCTTTACGATAGGTCCAGTATGCGTTGCTAGTAACCCTATCAAATAATAAGGCTTATTGAAAACACAAATGTTTGCGAACGATATATTTCAGGCGCACTTGGTACCAAACAGGAAACAAAAAAAAACACGAAGTGTGAAAGACTTGAAGAAACTGTGTAGAATGTTCTCAGCTATTCCTAATACAGATGAACACTGCCTAACAAGTTTATAATGTTAGAGGGAAGAAATTGAGGTTATTTCAACGGTCAAGGCTACGGAAGAATTTACATTATAAGAAACTTACTACTTAATAATATAAAGTAGTATAAAACTAAATGTATAAAAAAGGAATACGTAGGCAGCATCCCACGGGGTAAACGAGAACAAGTATACTACTAAGAGCATTTATCCCCCTGAAACTGCCAATATTATTTTTACTACTGATAATACATATGATAGTAATATCACTTATGCCAAGTATACTACATGTACTAATTATAAAAAATAAGAGAAATGGGTAAAGATTCTGTCCAGAAAAACTCAAGAGCATATGAAGAGTAAATCGAGATAGGAGAAGAAAAGAAAATGAAACACATTGTGCAAATGACTATTTTAATGAAAAGTGTACAGTATTTCATCACTGCTGTACAAAATGTCTTAACAAACACCTGCGTCTCAGTCGTTATCATCTCTTACAATTGGTGTCACTGCTTCTGGACATGATGAAGATTCCCTATCCTGCAGTCTTCGAGGATGAAGACATCAAGCTATTTCTCAGGAACTTCTAGTCAATCGCAGAGCCGGTGGGTGTCCGCGATCCAGGAGTGAAGGTCATGACGCTTGACACGTGTTCAAGGAGTACAGCGAAAGCTGCATATGATGGTGTGGAACGTGTGGATGGGAAGGAGACTTGGAAAAGAATGGTTGAACGCCTGGAAGAGGAGTTTGACAGACTAGTGGACAGGCAGCTGACAATGTAGCAGTTCGGTAGCATGAAACTTCGAATAGACGAAGACAAGCTAGTGCTGGCTGGGGGGCTGACTGAACTACTTCGATGAGCACTTCCCGCTTTCGATGGCGACTCCCAGGCATAGTTGATGGCTGCACAGTTCACAGAAAGTGTTCCGAACCCCATCTCCCAGCAGCTTCGACTAGTCAGTTGCAATATGAACCGCACATGACTTGTTCTTCCCGAAGCCAGTCAGACTATTCCGGTCGTAATTTCGAATCGACCACACTTTTTAGTCTCACCAGGATGATACGGCTTAATACTTTGCTTGGTGTGGGAAGGAGTGGAGCATGATTCTGTGCTAGTTCTTGCAATGACTTATGTCTCCCTTGTTTGGTAGCCCTTCTTCTAATCAATAGGCAGGTACCTTTCATTCCTTTCTTCCTTCCAAATTTTTTGTAGTAATGCTGTGTGCATATCCTCTGTTGTCTCTGCGCCTGTTTTCAGTGATTTTGCAGGAATTCCATCTGGTCCTGCTGATCTCCCGCATTCCAGCAGTTTTGTGGTATTCACGACTTCTGCCTGTGTCGGAGGGCATGTGTTCACTGGTAGTTCTGCCGTCGCTGGTTATACTTCGGGACGAGTTGGAGGTCGTGGTGGTCGATTCAAGAGTTTTTTTGAAGTGGTCAGACCATCGTTTCCTTTGTTCCTCCTATTTGGCAACTAGGTTTCCTTCACTATCTTCAACTGGTTTCATCTGTGTTGATCTCTTCCCAGACTGTAGTCTGTTTATTGGATATAATGTTGTCAGGTCTCTGTCTCTCCTACCTGCAGCCAGTTATGCTTCACTTGCCAATGTATCATATAAGTGTGTTTTGTCTTTCCATGCACTCTTCTTCACTTCTTTGTCTAGTGTAGTGTTTTCTATATTGTACTCAGTTCCTCTTTTCGTTGTTCATCCCTGTACTGCAGTGGTTCATCTTCTGCTTCACCATCCTCCTCTCCCTTCTCTATCAGCCTCTATGCATCCGTGGGGATCCATTCCTTGCCTTCATTCTTCTTCTTCCTTCCTAACACGGTTATGCAGGTTCCTTTCCACATCTCTTCCAAAGAGTTCTAGTGTTCTTCCACTCCCCGTCCTTCAGGGATGTAGCCTAGTGTCTCCCATTTTGTCCTGATGACTGACTGAAATCAAGATGTCTCTTATAGTTTCGTCCTCCAGTTCCTGTTCTGTTCTGACTGTTCAACTTGAACTGTTGTCTATCACCAACTTATGTGAAGGCTTTCAAGTTGATTTTGAAGGATTGGTTCCTTGTACTAGGCAGTGGGTGGTGTGAACCTACATCCGCTCCTCTTCTTCATCTGATGTTGAGTCCAGTAAGCTGGTTGAGTCTCCACTTTCTTCACATTGAGATGAAATTGATCTGATTTTTAGTGTAGTGTGTTGTGGTGACTTGTGAAGTCCACGTCTCTGCCTTGTGAGTATCCTTGTATTTGTAAACACTGCCTCCAAATGCCAAATCGTTGAATTCACAGAAGACTCCAAAGAGTTCTCGATTATGATTCACTGATTGGTATTTCTGGATCCAATGATGTTTATCCGTGATCATCAGTCGAACCATTTGTCCTCTACTCTGTTCAGTTAGTTTCCATCCCACTGGACAATTAATCGGTGTTCTATATTTGACACTCTTCAGTAGAAGAGTGTTCACTTCTTAGTCATCCCACCGAGTGACTCTTGACCCATAATGACTTCTCTTCCTGTGTTGTCTGCTCCGATTTTCGGATTCATGTGACCGAACCCATTAGAATTTTGATGTCGTCATCTGTGGTGGGGTCTTGTCCATTACTGATTGCACTTGTCTGTAGAGTTCCTCCTTCTTCTCTTGGCCTGCGTCTGCGTTATTTGTAGGTGCGTAGTGTTAGCATTGTATGATTGTAACTTTCTTTCATTTTGATTT